TTTTTTTTTTTATTCAAATCCATAAAAACGCTTATCGTCTAGTGTACAAAGTTATCAAGAATAAAATATAGTTTGTATTGACAATTTGGAATTACGTTTTTTTTTTTTTTTTTTTTTGATACAACATTCACAAATAAATAATAATACTTTTGGAATACTTAAAACACAAAAGACATACTACTGTTGTTCCATATGTTCCACTCTGCCGTTTTGGGTTGCTCGTGGGTTGGCACGTTCTCTGAGTCGTCCTTCCGACTGCAACATTTTTTCAAACTGTTGCGACCACGAGTCAATGTTTCTTCCACGATACATCTGAAAAACATAATTTTCAGTTATTTACACAAAAGTTTATATCAACTCGCATATGTAGATTTTGGGAATCTTATTACCATGCTTACAAACTCCATGACAGTTCGCCGTGGTAGTTCAAGTTCAGCTCGCATTCCCCAGCTGTACTCTGGTTCATCAGTATCTAAATTTTCTGACTTTTCAAGATGTAAGTATTTCTCCTTGACAAAGTCCTGAAAAAACATTAGACTATAATATGCAAGCTCTCAATATCAACATTCTTATGAGTAACTTGATAAACTCACCCCTGTCATCAACTCAAGGATGTTACCAAAAATCTCACTTCTTGACGATTCATCAGTTATGATACCAAGTCTGATCAAGAAATGAATTAAGGAACCTTAATGAAAACATAACTTTAATAAAACAAAAGGTGTAGAAAGATAATTGAAATAGAAAAAAATTACCCTGTGAGCATCGATCGCCACTCATATAAATATGTGACAAGATTATAAATAAGAGTACGTGGCGATTTGCAACATCTTCATCGTATTCGATATGCGGTATGTCATTTTTCAACCTGTTGTAAATAAACAGTTTTCCATCAACGTCGGTAACTTCATAGCCAAAAGTCTGCGAAAATATTTATAAAGTAACAAAACAATGACAAAATTATGAAAAAATTGAGAGAAAAGTGCTGAATTGGCTTACATCTTTCAAGATTTTTATGGCCTGATCGATAACGGACTTGAAATTCTTGTTGTGACAGTCCACAGCTTTACTAATAGCAGATTTTGTAATGGGAATTTTACTGTGATCAGCACCCAAGATGTACTTGACAACGTTGGAGACATGGTGGGCATGTTCCTGATTCGTTAGATTTTTATTCGGCGATATCTGGGAAGCGGGAAGAACTTCCTCATCTTCGACAATAAATTGTGAACTCGTTCCTGGCCTCTGTGAGGAACTCGGCCCAGCTTTTGCCGCTCTTTTCTGTGATCGTTGCGATGACATTCTGGCTTATCTGATAAGAAAGATGCACACACAGTAGTAGTAAAATGTCATATACGTTTCTAAGGTTAGATGGCACAAAAAAATCGTAAAGTATACTCACTTGTTTGGACAAATGCGAATGACAACACTGATTTAACATTTATCGATCTTGTCTGATGAGAAATAACGTTGACACGACCTAAACTTGAACAAAACCAACTTTTGCAACGCAGAAAAACGACTGAAAGCAAAAATTGATGCTAGTTTTTTTTTTCACTCACTCGTCAATCTTATTTGAAAGGAAGAAAATAGTATAATGAAAATAACGGCGCTTGAATTCTTTTGATAATTCCTGCAGTCGGACGTCTGCTCTGCTACGCGTTCTTACCGACACACAGTAAGCACTCAATTTATCATTTAAGCTGATGTAGGTAACTTTGGTTGCTGTGAATGATTTGGAGACCTTACCGGCTCGGCAGATAAGTGCGGCATCATCTTTGAATTTAAAAGCCGTGCAAGTTTCTTCAGTTGTATGCGGTTGGTGTGGTTGTTTCATGACAACTTAGCAGTTTTGTTGCTGGTGCCCGAAACAGAAATACATCGATTTTGATACTTAAAATCAAGCAAAAATGGTAAAAACATCCATGATTTGTTCCTACTCTTATTCAGTTTAAATTATTGTCAAGTTTATTTACTTAAATGATGTAGTTTCTTAGTGTGCATGTTTATTTCAAGTATAGAGGTTATAAGGATTGTATCAGTCATACAAATGACATTGCATATTTCATTAAATTTATTTCTTTTCCATTGACAACATACTCTTTCAAACAGTTATTATTACAAATTTGTGTAATAAGAAGAATTATCAAAATTACAATGAGATTTGTTGAATAATTTTAAGCTGTACTTGTTGCTTGCACATAGAATACTGTTTTGTCAATTTCATTTAGCACTTCTATTTAAATAGATAATATTTTTTTGCAGAGTATCTTGGCTTATAATGGAGCTGCTATAATTGCAATGAAAGGAAAGAACTGCGTTGCAATAGCAGCAGATCGTAAATTCGGTATCCAAGCACAAATGGTATCGTGCGACTTTCAAAAGGTATTTGAGATGGGATCTCACCTATACGTTGGCCTACCCGGCCTAGCCACTGATGTTCAAACTGTCATGGAAAGGCTACGCTTCAGATTGAATCTTTACGAATTGAAGGAAAACAGAAAAATCCATCCTAAAACCTTTTCCTGCATGGTTTCAAATCTTTTGTACGAGAGGAGATTTGGACCCTACTTTGTTGAACCAGTGATAGCAGGATTGGATCCCGAGACTTACGAGCCCTATATCTGTTGCATGGATCTAATAGGATGTTGCACATCTCCTGAGGACTTTGTAGTTTCTGGTACTTGTACAGAACAGCTTTTTGGTATGTGTGAAGCTTTGTACGAGCCAAACTTGGGACCAGATGAGCTTTTTGAAACCATCAGCCAAGCACTTGTCAACGCTTGTGATAGAGATGCAATATCTGGTTGGGGTGCTATCGTTCACATAATGTGAGTATTCGTATTGAAAATACGCTCGAAGTGATTCTTGGTCACAACATAATAATTGACATGGTTTCATTTCTTTCAGCGAAAAGGATAAAGTTACTACAAAAACAATCAAGACCCGTATGGATTGAATAATATTTAAAAAAAATACAAATTACATTCTGTTCATTATAAAAGAATTTTATACATAAAATACAAATTAAATCAAATTTTTTACATGTAGTTATAACAAACCATACTTACAGCTACGAAAAAAAGTTGGTTGTGATAAGAACGTTGATCGCGTTTGTTTTTTCAATGCTATTCCATTGTTATTCTTTCATTATAATTTTCTTTCATAAAGTTTTTATCAGAATAAAATCAACCGAAAAAAAAAGATACAAGTGTTTAAATACCACTTATTGCCTGTTTGAATATTTTCATCAATTACGTTACCGCGTAAAATTTTCATCCAGTAAACTAATTTTCCAACATTGGTCGTAAAATGATGTCGTCCAACATTAAAATAACATTATCACGAATTAAATTAAAATTTGCTGTAACTGCGCGAAAAATGAAAGATATTGATCGACGACGGAAATATTGACGTACAGAATTGTGCGTCACCCTATATTTGACTACTTGCAAAAAATTCAATTGAAAGACAAAACGACCACTTATATATGTAAGGAAAAGCAGCGGTACAAGCTGGATGAGACGCGCATGTCCCTTGGGTGGGAGGAAAACAGGGGGTGGCGTGTTATTTTATGTGCACAAGCGTGAGGGGGTGCACGAAAGTACAAAGCGAAAAGCACACTCCACCCACAACCACGTTCGCAATTACATATACACACACACACACCCACATACGTATAAGTCTGCTTTCGTTGGACTTCCGATTCGCGAGGGTGCTCGAGAAAAAATAGCAGCGAAAAAGACGGTCAAGAAGCTGATATTTTTTCCTCCCGGCTCTCCTTCTCGGCCTGATCTCCACCTCAATCTTTCACAGCTTGTCTATCTTGCAACTCGAATCTCCGAGGGGAAAAGAGTGTTAATTAATCGTGTCGTTATAGTGTCGCGACATTGTTTGACGACAAAAGCTCATTAAAACAGCTATATTGGCAAACGTTTCGTTCAAGTGTGAAAGATGAGCCAGAGCCTTGGTCCTCTCAAGAACGACATGGATATCTTTGACAAGATTTTCGCCAACGAAGAATTAGTTTGTAAGCATACACAATGTCCATATTGCACGAGCTTTCGGTTTGCTTTGTTTCATCATTATTTTTCCTCCAATTTTAATCCGCTTCACTCACAATCAAATAAATGCTCGATATGATTTTGCACAAACATTGCCCGCAGGAATACAAAGCCATGTGGATTACAATGCAAAGCCATCGAAAAGCAAGTCACCAGTCAGCAGACTGGCCGCGCGACAATTACAATCATCAAGCCGAAAAATCCATAATCCTCAAGGAAATAGTACTACATCGTCGCTCTCTGACAATCATTATGCAGCCGATCAATCGCGCGAGTGCAACAACGGCGAGCTACCATCATCCGTTCGTCACCCAATGAGCGTCCAAACGACCGCTCGAAATGCCGGATAAATGAGAAAATAATATATATATATATCAGCTGAAGCTGCGAGCAATAGATTTTTAGAATAATCGAGACTCGTCTCGATAGGCTGCATTAGAGTTGAAGAAAAAAAAAAAAAAAAAAAAAAAAAAAAAAGTTCCCACCACTCGTCAGACCGGCGCCACACCGCAAGTTCACCGAAAGTTTTCGGTCCGTCGCGAAAAAAAAAAAAAAAAAAAAATTGCTACACGTACAAATAAGTAAAGCTCATGAGAAATATATGGATAAAATGTTTGGACAGGTATAGATGAAGAATCAAAATAAAATTTGCATGGCTTCCCCACCATAATCATCATCATTGACAATCGAGTACAATGTATTATACATGTGTGTGAAAAATGGCACGGACGAGGCATATTTATATCGCGTGTGAGCTTTTTTTTTTTTTTTTTCTCTCTTTGTCGGTGCCACACGTATATATACTCAAGTATAAATTTGCAAGGAGCGAGAGATAGAGAGCCTACCGACGTTGTTGAGGTGCTTCAGTAGACTGTAGCGCGGGGCCTCTCGAGCGTAGATCCGGCAAATCGATAGGGCACGATCCCTCGATCTCTTCTCCGTTTCCGCGGAGTTGCAGCCCTCGCAAGCGGCCGCCGCACCCGATGCTTCGCCCCGATGATGCTGCTGCCTCGGCTGGGGCACCGGGGTCGTCTGGTTCTGGTCGAGCGCCATGTACTGCTGTCGGCCGTTCTGCCGGATGATCTTTGTCTGGCGTGGCGGTACCTTTGCGGTGTGGCTTTTACTGCTGGCCTGGCCGCTTTTTTTTCCGTTAGGAGCAAACATTTTTTTATTTCCCACATTTTGACGTAATTTATACCGGAAGGGGTCAACTTGTCTACACCCCTGATTAATTAGAGCGAGTCAGTGGGATGAAAAGCTTTGGGAGCGCTTATGTAGTTTTTTTTTGTTCACACTTTGCGGTGGGTGTATTGCCGTTTGATGTTGGTGGGTGGGTGTTCCCCGACTTTTGTGCGAAATAGCGCTCTTCGCCTTACAGTTGGGGAAAATGTGTGCTTTATTGTCGATTTCGGTAATTGTTTCGGGGAAAGAGTCTTAGCGAAGGAAAAAGCTACTCTTCGCGTTTGACAAGACGTACTCGTTGTTTGCGCAACTTTTGAGGGTTTCGCGCTTTGTAACTTTGGATTTTCAAAGGTTTTCTTTTAGCCCGTAATCGAGTTATTTTTGCTCGACGGTTGGGTCATTAAAAAAATTAGTCGTTTAGCAAAAAAAAAAAAAAAAAAAAAAAAAAAAAAAAAAAAAAAAAAAAAAAAAAAA